ATTGGAGGTGACGAAGTCAAATTTGAAGAAGATCACAAGTGGTAAAATGGCATACGGGCAATCGACGCTGTTGGAGGTCCTCTAGTTTCTTTCACTATTAGGTGGTGTGTTCCTGCATGATCCTTTGCTACAGTGTTCTTGACGAGAAACCAGAAGCCCAAATGAATGTCATCGACCTCATTTTTCGGCTAGTTAAGGTGCATGGGTTTTACGTTGTCAAGTGGAATCTTTCAGCAAAACCACTGCCACAATCTTCGAGTTGATCTTGAAGGGAACCTCTAGCGGGGGAGAAGTCAATACGTAAAAGCCGGGTTTGTCTTTTATATATTTGTGTGTTCTCCAGACTTTGCGTCTCACTGTTTGATTTTCGTGGTGGGAAGGTGTTGTTGGTGAGCTCTTGCGCGTCAAATAGTTCCTAGGGTGATAATAGTTTGTCTGTGAAAGTTTCTGAAGAGCTTACTTTGGTCAGTGCACCTCCAATAGCGTCATATGCCATATTACCGTTTGTGATCGTTTTCACTTCCTCCACAACATCCTCAATTTTGGAGTTTATGACTTCGTCGCCTCCAAAACAAAAGAATTTTGAAATTCATAAACTTGAGGAAATAGTTCTCTGGATAGTGCAAAATGGCATATGACGCTATTGAAGGTGCACTGACCAAAGTAAGCCCTTCTTTTAGTTTCTTTCATTATTCCTCTCGCTTCTTTGTTGTAATCTCCAGGTCATTGTGGCACAGCGCGTTCCAGCAGCTTAGATACCAGACAGCGTGAGAAACCAAGGAACGATCCTTTGCTATGGTTTTCTTGACGAGAAACCAAAAGCCCAAGTTCATTTTTCAGTGGATTTTACGTTGTCAAATGGGTGGAATCTTTCAGCGGCCGGACGAGTTTTGCAAAACCACCAGAGAGGAGAGCACACAGATATATGAAGACCGACCCAGCTTTTACGTATGGCTTCGTGGGCCCTGTCCAGTGGGAACCACCAGAGGAGCCATGACTTCCTTCCAGATCAACTCGGAAGATTGTCTTTTTGTGGTTTGTGCAGTTGTTGGGGGTTGTTGGCGACACAGGATTTTGAGCAACACCCGCGTGGCTTACCATCGCCACCTTGCATACTGTCGCGTGATCACTATCGCTGAAACGCTCCACTTGGATGGCCTTCTGCGCAAAAAACTCAAAGATTTATAACTGGAAACTCAAGCTTAAAAGTAGATTAAGAAGAAAGTCATCGAGTCTCCATGACAGCGTCTTTGGTTGTGGTGGTAGCACAACCATTAGGAACACTCACAGCTTTCCCCTAGTAACTAGTAACTTGCACACGTTGAGGTGTTCTCACATGCAATTCCATCTCTCAGTCCCCAGGCACTTCTTCTTGTTCCACCTTCACCTTTGCTATGCCAGGTCCTTTTTCCATGTTTGTGGCACATCTTGCTCTGTCTTGCTTCCCACGAAGCAAGCATACGAGTGTCCCGTCCTGTAGAATGTACACAATGTCCACTGCTTTTTCGTTGAACGCAAGGGGACGTACGGCATTAGTTCGACGAGGGCTTCAAGCTCCTTATTGTGTGCAGAAGTCACAAACAGCTGAAACGGACTTAGCACCTGTCCCCAAATGCGGATAACACCAATAAACAAGCCTGCTGCAGCTTCTTGCAACCTTTTGATCATCTTTTCCGCAAGATGCCGGAGGTAAGGACACAAGAAGTAGTCGAAACAGAAGAGCTTCATAGTTTTCAGTGGTGGGATTCCAAGACCGGTACTACTCGTCACCATCTTAAGGGCAGCTTCCACACTTTCTTTGGTCGTCATCTCCGTCTCTATCTTATTGACAACTGGACGAGAAATCCTATCCTTGTAATCCTCGTCATCTTGAGATTCTGCATACAGCCGCACCAGCCTCGGCATTCTACCGGTGAAGTAATCGAGCCTGTCGAGCCGATCTTGATCTAAGCCTACATGGGCTATCCACGTCTGGAGCTCCGTCTCAGTATACGGCCCATCAAACACTTGGGTACGAATATAATCGTCAGCCTTATCGCTCGTTTCCCACTCGTAGCGCTCTCTGCTGTTGGAAGAAGAAATTCTTACTAGCATATTGCCGCGGCATGCAGTTTTCAAACACCCGCAGCACTCCTTGTCAGTTTCCACCTTATCCCAGTCATCCACAACAACGAGCAAATCCCAATCTACCAGCTGACGCAGCTCCTCGAGCCTCAGGAGCTCCTTTCTCTCCGCTTCCAAATCCTTGGACAAGAAACAGAGCATCAGAGCCTCTCGAAGAACGCAAGCAGGTGAATCAACAAAGTCCTTTCCACCGAGGAAGACTAACACACCGCCCATGCAGGTAGCCCGCGATGGTAGCCATGACGGTGCTTGCCGCAACCCTTTGAACCCAGTATCTGCATCACATTACCCGCCTGGAGCTCTAACACTGCTTGGTAAAGCCCCTTGGCATGCTCGCGGCCGATGTAGTAGTACTCCGGCTCGAGAGCAGACAAGAAGATGCTCGGCCAGTAGAGCTGCAAGCGACTCTTTGCCTCCCACAGAAACTCGGGACCAAGCGATACCAGCCTCCCACTTAGCCATTATTCGCATAAACCTTAGACAAATATTTAGTGCTCTTTTATTTAACTTTCTCAAAAGCTCTTCCACCGCCCCTCGCAGGTTGCTCGAGTCTGCCAGCGGCGTCGAGAGCCTCCACCGCCGTGCAGCTCCAGCACCGGAACTATCGCTCTAGGTTGCCATTGCAATGAGCGCAGACTGAGCAACGAGCTTAACTTGATTCTTCATCATGTGTCTCTTTGCGAAATAACTTGCCACCTTGATCCGAGTTTCTTGGTTGATCAAAAGATCAGTACACCAAAAGGCATGGGCACGACGTTTACTTGCAACTGTTGAATTCTTCTTGCCTCGGCCAACGTTTGACTTAGTTCCGAAAAGCCAACTGAGAGAGGTCTTGGTTCTTGCTAGCGAGAAGCCTTTCTCTGTGCCTAGAATCTCCCAAACCTCTAGGCCGCTCTGAGCAGCATTTGCATTCCTTGCTACCAAGGCTTCACACACTGAATCTCCTTCCTTCACGATAATGTCCTGTGACAAAGATAACAAAAGCAGAAAACTTTTGCGAGTCGTTCTTCGCGACTAGTGTCTCTTTTAGATCTTCTTTCTCTCTTTGCCGATTCAAGCGTTGTTGATTCGAGCTTCTAGCGCAATCTTGTGTCGGCATTGCTCGCCGCGGCGGAACATACCTGATTGCTACAGCCATCCTGTCGAGAACTTCGAGCGCTTTCGAGCGGAAAAGAGCAGCACCGTCCAAGCTCCAGATGAGGTAAGTGCTCCTGATCTTCCCCTTGTTCATCGGGTTCCCGTTGGAAAGCCAGAGGATCTCGTCGAGAGCCCCGTCCACGTCCTGCATGAGCCCCACAGCGGTGAGCCTGTCTACGTTCCTCTGGTACCACCCCTCGATCTTTCGCAGTACAAGTGGGCGTCCACTGATCATGCTTCACATGCTAATGTCGAAATGCTCTAACTCGATTGATCGATGCCCCGGCATACCAGACGCGCAACGCTTTGACCCAGCTCGCCTCGCTCACGCGCGTATAGTCAACATAGTCACGCCAATACGTTTTGTTTGACTAAATGTACTTTCATTTATGCTGCTGCCATCTAGCGCTTCATCCACAAATCGGCTCATCTACACGCATGGCAAGCGCGGCGACGCGCACGGCGCGCTCCAGCTCTTCAACGCAATCCCGCCCAGCAGCAGGACCATCTTCTCGTGGATTTCCATCCTCTGCGCGCTTGCCCAGGCGGGGCATCTGCAGGAATCGAAGCGGATCTTCGACACGATGCCGCAGAGAAACCAGCTTGTGTGTAACATTATGCTTGCTGCCTACATAAAAACTGGTAGTATCAGCGAGGCTACAAAGTTTTTCGTCCTGATGCCGGAGAAGAACATTATCTCGTGGACGGCGATACTTGCAGTGTATGCCCAACAAGGGTGTCTTGATGTGGCTACTGGATACTTTGCGGAGATGCCTTGTCACAATCTCGTAACTTGGACGGCTCTACTCGGCGCCTACGCACGAAGCGACCATGTACAAAGCGCAAAGAGGATATTCGATCAGATGCCGGAGCATGACACCGTCTCCTGGAACTCGATGCTTTCTGCATATACCCAGAATGGGTATCTAAAAGAAGCCAAGCTTGTCTTCTCAATGATACCTCAACCGGATCTGGTTTCATGCAACTCCATTCTTCACGTTTCCTCTCTTAACGATAGGCTGGAGCAAACCAGCACAATGTATGATCAAATGACTCATAGGGATCTCTTCTCTCACAATTCCATGCTCGCAGCCTATGCTTCGAAAGGATACCTGGAAGAGTGTAAGTTTCTCTTCGATAACATGCCAGAGCGCAACGTTATATCTTTCACCACCTTGCTAATGGTATACGCACAGACCTCAAACTTGAAGGAGGCGATCCAAGTCTTCCACTGGATGCCCGAGCGTAACACGGTCACCTGGAACTCCATGCTTTCGGGATATGCCCAGAACGGGCATATCGCCAAAGCCACCCGGGTCTTCCAAACTATGCCCGACCCAAACGTCGTCTCTTGGAAGGCCATCCTCGCTGCGTATGCCCAGAACGGCCTCTCCCCTCAAACCATATCCTCTTTCGATGAAATGCAAGTAACCGAGGCTCCCGACGATACTTGCTTCGTTCTAGTCTTGCTCGCGCTGTGTCACGCCGGGAAGTTGTTCCGAGGAAGAAACTGCTTCGTGTCGCTGAGCCTGGATCACGGACTTGAGCCTTCGAAGCAGCACTACTGCTGTCTCGTGAATCTGCTAGGCCGAGTGGGACACCTCGAGGAGGCCGCGGAGCTCATCACCAGTATGCCCTTCGCGCCTGATGCTTACGAGTGGCGATGCTTCCTCAGCCTTTGTCACGTGAGTTCCTGGCATGGCGCTTCTGCCGCCAAGTCTCTTCTGAAGCACGACTCGGACAATGCCGCTGGCTATGTGCTGCTGGCAAATATTCACACCTTTAGCTGAAATAGATTACAAACAGTCTCGAGAGAAACTAATGTCAGTGTAATACATAACGATAATCTTACACTACATCCGTGCCTGGATTCTCCACGGACAACCACCTTCGAAGGCTTCATGCAGAACGTCTTCCATTCTCCTTGCCAATAAAATCTGCAAAGCGGATGGGGTCAGAACAAATCCGATTCTCTAGAGCGTTTTTAACTGTTTACCTCTACGTTGGCGAGTATGTTTGCTGGAACCTCTTGCAAGTCTTTGAAGTTCCTCTCCGGGAGTATCACACGTTTGATGCCGAACCTATGAGCAGCTAATATCTGCGAGGAAACACTCGTAAGTTAGGCAGGCGAATTACTGAAAGCTTACCTTGTCCTTCACTCCTCCCACTGGCAACACAAGACCACGTAGTGTCATTTCACCAGTCATTGCGGTGTCAGCACGAACGCATCTCTTCCCTAGCAAAGACACCAAGGCCGTAACAAGCGTAACACCGGCGGAGGGCCCGTCCTTCGGCACAGCACCTGCTGGAAAGTGGATATGAATATCTCGACTATCCATTAAACCTCTTCCCGCGCCAGTTGCAAGCTTCAACTCGGCAGCTCGTGCTCTCACCTGTTTCAACAATTGAATACAAGCGAAAGTTTTTTGTAAACATACCCATGTGAGAGCAATCTGAGCAGATTCTTTGATAACATCTCCCAGCTGGCCTGTGAGATGAAGATCTCCCTTCCCTGTCATGGCCGTGGCCTCGACAAATTGAACTTCACCACCAACGGCCGTCCAGACAAGGCCCACGGCCACACCGGGAGTGGACACTCTTTCAGCCGCTTCTTTGCCATCAAACTTAGGTGGCTGTAGAGAAAGAATAGTTTAGTGACAATGAAAAAAGAGAGAAGGAAACTGTATAGCTTACACCAAGGACTGTTTCAACCATCGCCTCGTCCACATGCCATGGCTCCACCCCAGCAATCGCGTTAGCCAAGTCACGGCCATGCACTCCCATGGCCTCGACTTCCATATCTATTTCCCCGTCCGCGACCTCTCCACCTTCTACAACTGTAGTAGTTGTTGTTTCAGCTTGAACTTCTCGAGCAACGTGAATGGAATGCTCTCTTTCTGCAACTTTGACAGCCGCAGCTCTTGCAAGGGCTGCCAAATGCCTTTCTAGATTACGAACTCCAGCTTCACGAGTATAACGCTGAATAATAAGCTCCACCATTGCCTGCAAACACGGAAATGGTAAACCAAGTATTTCAGAAACTCAGTTTATACCTCTGGAATTTTTAAATGCTGCACAGTAATGCCATGTTGATCAAAAACTCTAGGAATGAGATGTCGCATAGCTATACACAGCTTTTCTTCAGAAGTGTATCCAGGTAGCTCAATCACTTCCATGCGATCAAGCAAAGGCGGTGAAATTGGTTGAATCCTATTGGCCGTGGCAACAAAAACCACTTTGGATAAGTCAAATGGAACGTTGAGGTAACTGCAAAGAAACAAGTTAAAAGCATGACCAAAGCGACGGTACTATACGTACTGATCATTGAACGTCCTATTCTGCTCCGGATCTAAGACCTCCAGTAAAGCAGATGCCGGATCACCACGGACATCCGTACCTGTTTTATCAATCTCGTCCAGAAGCATGACCGGATTGTTGACTCCCACTCGCTGGCAATACGATGAAAACATCAGGAATAAAAACCTTAAACAATCCATACCTTAATGCCTTCGATCAGTCGACCCGGCATGCTTCCTATATATGTTCTACGATGACCTCGTATGTCTGCTTCATCCTTCACTCCACCCAATGAAATGCGGATAAAAAGTCTTCCCAAAGCTCCAGCAATTGAAGACGCCAAGGATGTTTTTCCTACACCCGGAGGACCTACGAAGCAGAGGACAGGACCCCTCGCGTCGGGTTTTAACTGTCAAAAATATTAGTTAGAAAGGAAAGAAGATTGAAGAAAGCTTACATACTTTTCGTACAGCCAAATACTCAATAATCCGCTTCTTGACTTTTCCCAGCCCATAATGCTCGCTATCCAACCGTTCCTTTGCTGCAACAAGATCTAGTTCACGTTCTTCGCTACTTATCTGCCATGGTAATTCAGCAAGGAGTTCCAAATAAGCTCTTGAGCTTCCATAACCTGGCTGTTGAGGCTGCATTTTCCTCAACCTCCTATGAAATGGCAAGCAGCAAGATTTCAGCTGAAAATAGACACACAATTATATCTTACCTCAGCTCTCTCTGTGTGTGCTTCCATACGTTTGCCGGCATTCCCACATTCTGCATCTTTTTCTCCAAAGCAACCACATCATCTTCGTCCTCATCGTTATCACCGAGCTCCTCTTTGATCGCTTTCATCTGTAAAGCGGCATGAGGGACAAAGCAAACTTGCGGATCATAAGTAATACAGTACTTGTTGACGTAAAAGAAACTCTTTTTGAGACTTCGAGAGATTTCCTTCCACTTTCTGGGATATCTTTTCGGCTACCTTGATTGTCTAGAGACAGTATACGAGTTTAAATTGGATTCTTAACTCGAAAGTCAGCACGAACCTGAAGATGGCGCGTTATGATTTCAGTCGCTTTGACAAGTCGCTGTTTTAAGTCGACGGCGTCTAGCATAGCTAGCCGGTCTTCAAAGTTGTTCTCAAAATTTGCAACAAAGATGTCCGCAAGCCTGTGGGCAGAGGTTGTCTCGAGTAATATTTTCGTGCGGCCCACAGTTCTTTGCTTCTACGATGTCAAACAATCAGCAAATCGAGAACATGTACCGATAGAATACCTGCTCCAAAGCAGAGATCAATTCGCTAGCAACAACTTTAAACTGTCGTCCCAGAAGTTGCACCTCTGGATCTTTTTCCGCCTGCTCCATCTCTACAAGAAAAAAAAAACCAAAGCAGTAAAACAACAGCGCCTCATCAAAGAGGAAACGCTACCTGCTTTCGTCATATCGAGCTGACCAATGCGAGCTGTGTTGTATGATCCCCGAGCATTCATGTCCTTGAGACTGAACCTACACCAGCCTTCTAAAACGACGGTGTACGTAACCCGACCACTTGGTTTTTCCATGCCACGAGAGAGATGCAAAGCTCGGGCTGCTACACCCCTACAAACATTCTTACGTGATCCATCAGGAAACACTCTGGAATTCTTACCGGGGATGCCATTGCACGAGCTCTTGATTTTGCTTTCCCAGGCACTGCTGGAAATCTGGAAGCGCAGTTCCACCTCGATCGCCTGGAGATACACTCAACACAGGTAACTCCCAAAACAGTTCTTGGCATTTTCCTTGCCTTGAGTCGGGGGAGGCTGCTGCTGCTGTGGCGGCGGAGGCGGAGACGTCGGATCGGACTGCTGCAAATCCCTGACAGGCAAAACTCCAATCAATCCCCTGTCTTCCTTCTGCCACAGCTCCTGCTCGACCAGCCTAACGCTGGGAGAAAAACGATCAAACCGCCCGCATTTTAGCTCCCAAATTCTACGCGATGGCCTAAGAAGCGCTTACTTGGTCGGCGACGTGCATCGGATGCGCACCACAGCTCCGGGGAGCAGGACTCGATTCCTAAACAGCATGATCGCCAGGCGCGGAGGAAGCTCGGCGACATCGCCAGGCGCTCCAGCCATCGCCTCTCGCCTCTCTCGCTCTCGCTCCCAGAAACAAAGCCCTAGAAGCAAAGAAGGAAGAAATATAAAATCACCTCACAGTGCCAGTGAAAACGCAGGCATTTTCTCGAGGAAGCTAAGGACATGTGTCCTTCGCCCGCTAAAGGTTAACAAGTGGATGAGGATGATACTAAAATACTAGATGTGGCAGCGCCCACCATGCCACGTCGGAGGCTAGATCTATTGGAGCAAAGATTTTTAGAATGGAGTGGAGCCTCACAACGTTGAAAATTTCGCTTGGCATCTAAAAGCCTGGGAGTGAGCTCCCATCGACAAAATGTTGGAACAATAGCAACGCTTGCTCGGGTTTGTCAAAGGGAACCATATGTCCAGCGCCTCTCACTGTGGCAAGCGTTAGCCCCGCGTATTTCTCACTCCAGCCGCCGACCTGGAACAAGGTCGAGCTATGATCAAGCGAAACAAGGAAAAGAACAAGTTTGTATTTTAGTATAGTACCTGGTCTTGGAACTTCCAAGGATACCACTTCTGCGTGATGGTGAGATTGAGCTTCTTGATCCACGCTCTCGTCCCGATCGTCGAGACAACACCATCGACATCGCCACTACATGCGAAAGGGAAAGTTGCGCTCTTGTCATGAAAGTAAACGTCAAAGTTGTACCTGTAAATCCAGATCTTGAGACCCTCTTTCAGCAGCGAGCGATACAGTGGAAGCATTGAATTCGTGATCTCCTTTCTCGGATAGTTTCCATTCGCTGCTCGACTGCATCACAACATAGATCGCATGTGAACCAAGTTCGAGAGAGAGAAAAGAAAAAAGGTTTTACCTACAAAATGACCACTTCCCAGGCATGAATTCTACGTGTAAAGCGGTTTGGACGTCCTTGGAGTTGAGATATGGAGACACAGTATCAGCGCATGGATCGTAGGCAGCAGCCAGCATCTCAGTGTGCATGAAAGTATTTTCTCGCAGCGTTTGGCTCAAAATCGTCCCGTTGGGATCTTGCTGGTTGCACGCAGGGGCGTAGACGTTGTAGGTGTCAACGTACTGGATGCTGTTGAACATGGCGCTGACTGCGAACCGGCACAGCGGATTGGCATCGCCATTGTCGATTGGAAGATCCTTGGCGAAGTCGCAGTTGGCGACGACTTGGTTGTAGATCTCATCGGAGATTAGCGAATGACTGTGGAAGAAATCGGTGTCGCCTTTGTTGTCAGAGTATGTGTCCGACCAGGGATTACCAAGCTGCGTGTCAAACACCAGATGAGTAGAAACGTTTTGGACGAGCAAAGCCTTACAGCAAATCCTTTGAAGTTAATGAAAGCTCCGGCCTTCTTCTTGTTGTAGTCGAGGATTTTTGCAGCTAAAGTCGGAACGTAATGCCCTGCAGGAACAAATTCATACAGTGAAGAGCTTGAAACACGTAATTTTTACCAGCGTAGCTTTCACCGAGGAGGTAAAAATCGTTCTTTGAATACTCTGGAAAGCGTTTGAACCACTCCAGGATGAACACAAGAACATCCGATGCTGCAGGCAAATCGGTATATCAATCAATTCTTTGCAATATATTCTATACCCATGATATCATCACTGTATTGGTTATAATCCGAGGTTGTGTTGGAGTACGAGAATCCAACGCCGTGGGGAGCCTCGAGGAATATAAGATTGACCACTGCTCGAAAGCAAAGCTAGCTCTTAGCCCTGAAGACGATAAAAACAACCTTTCTACGTACCTTGATTCCATGCGTATGGATTGAGAACAAGCCCCGAGCCTGCGTCATTTGTTCTAAAAGGTCCCAATTCTCCCAAGGCTCCAGATCCGACCGAAGAACATCCTGGGCCTGAAAAGCATCCGAGATCCTATAAAGCTTTGAGCTCTGAAGAACAAAACTTACCTCCATTCATCCAGATCGCTAGAGGCAGCTGTAGCGAACTGTTTTGGTGATCAGCCTCATAGAACCAGTAGAAAAGTGCCTTCCCTGTGGTTGGATTCACGGTAACTTGGCCAGCATACTGATTGAAGTTAACTTGAGGTTGTCCAGGAAGGTTGGAAACAAGATGAGATGGATCCGGTGCTAGAGCTGTAAGGAATGAAGTAAGTAGAATAAAAAGAGCGAATGCTGCGTCCATCGGTGTCGAAACTCGCAGAAAATGCGAGATATAAACATCTCCAGTGGCAACAATAATAGAATTTCGAAATTATTATATCTTGTACGTGGAAATGGACCACTCCGAAAACTCCACCAGCTGACCACCAGCCGTCCCTGTTACGCCAAAGTGAAAACAATCTTCTCTCCAAAGACAAGCTTTTGACGATTGTAAAACAATTTTGGATTATTAGCTGATTAGAACGAATAGTTTTCGCGAACCTTGAACGCGTAGCTATGCCTTGTTCGTTTGTGTTTGTTTTCTTTCTTTCCTTCCTATTGTTCATGGGAAGCTGGGCAACGCTTCTCCTGCCAAGAAGCTCTTGAAAACTTGCAGTGCCTGTTGCGGCTTTGTGGCAGGCACCATGTGTCCAGCGCCTCTGACTGTGGTAAATGTCATTCCCTTGTAGACTTGTGTCCAGCCTCCAACCTGTGTCGGAGATTCGCCGTTGGGATGCTATCTAAACTATTGAAGAACACAAGTACCTGGTTGTTGAAGTCCCATGCGTACCATGGTATTTGAACGGTGAGATTGAGCTGACTTATCCAAGATTTTGTCGCAATGGTTGCCACCACTCCGTCAACATCCCCACTGCAAAGAACACGCTCAAGAAAAAAGCACAATATAATGGAGCACTCACCTGTATATCCATATTCTAAGGTGCGTCTGTAGGAGTTTTCTGTACAGTGGAAGCATCGATCTAACAATATCCGCTCGGTTGTAATTGCTGTAAATCACATCGCTGCGTACAAACGTTCGCGTAATCAATGATATGACAATATACGAGAATGAAAAGAAGTTAACGCTTACTTGCATCCGGACCACTTGCGTGTCTTCTTCACATGCAATGCATCCTGAACGGAGGGCAGATTTAGATACGGTGTTACTGAATCCAGACATGGATCATATCCTGCAGCCAGGTAAAACGCCTTCTGCTGCAAGGAAAAATTATCGAAGATCAGAGGCAACGAGAAAAATTAAGTGGCGAGCTTACGCGAGATTTCCTTGCAGAGGAGCTTCCGGGCAAAGGATTACACGACTCGGCCAAGACATCGTACATGTTGATCTTCTCCATGTCGATGTCGGCCTGAGTTAAAGCTTGTCGACATTTCGAGTTGTTGGAGCGAGCATCGATAGGAAGATCGTTCGCAAAGTCACAGTTCAGCAAACCCGCGTATGTCTCATCCGAGATGAGCGAGTGAGAGTGGAAAAACTCGGTGGTGCCGCGATTGTCATAGTAAGCATCTGTCCATGGATTTCCAATCTGATTATAGGAGGCAACACGAAAGGTTTCAATCAACACAAAGAAGCAGCGAAACCTTACAGCAAATCCTTTGAGGTTTATACGCTCCTCGGCTGATACTTTTCTGTTGTGTAGAAGGACTTGCCATGCCAAGGTTGGAATGTAATGTCCTGCAAGCAAGCAATATAATACAGGAGTGATACTCTCAAAGTAGAAAAGCAAAAGATACCTGCATAGCTTTCTCCAATCATGTAGAATTCGTTGGCTTTGTACTCTGGGAACTTCTCATACCAAAGTTTTAGAAAAGCGAGGGAATCCTTCGCTGCACCCAACGAAGAACCATCGATAAACGATTTTCATGACGAGCTTTGATACATTCACCCACCTATTCTCTTGTCGTAGAACTCCTCGAAATCCGACTTGGTCTCCGAGTAGGAGAAGCCAACACCAATTGGCGACTCAAGAAAAATAATGTTGGCCTCTGATCCATACAAACAGTGAAGAAAAATCGATCGATCCATAGAAACAACGTAGCAAGATTGATCGATTTCAGGCGCATACCTTTGGTCCAGGAGTAGCTGTTGAGCACAACGCCGGTGGCATTGTCATTCGTCGTGAACGGCCCCAGCTCCGACAGACCTCCATTGCCGACGGAAGAACACCCGGGCCCTAGAAATCAAGAAACACGATCAGATCGGAGACGCAATGCGATCAATCAATCACTGGAGCGATTGGAACAAGAAGAGAGGCAAAATAAAAACCCTAGCGATTGCTCTAAATTGTTTATATACCTCCATTGAGCCACAGCGCGACCGGGAGGGAAGAAGCATTGGGATGATCCGCCTCGAAGAACCAGTAGAAGAGCGCGCGGCCATTCCTCTCATTCACGACGATCTGGCCAGCGTAGTGCTTGAAATTGACGGCGGGCTGGCCGGGCAGTGAATCCACCAGATCCTCATTCGTTCCAGCGGCTCCAGCTCGCCCGGAATTCACAGCGCTCGCCGCGATTGCAATGGTGACGAATCCGAGCAGCCGGGATAGCGTGCGATCGTCCATGGATTAGAGAGGGAGGCCAAGAAAAAAGATTGGAAAGAAGCGATTGGGCTCTTATTCTTCTTCCTTCTATGCTCTTCTTCTTCTTCTACATTGTCTTGTTGCGTGGAGGATTTCCATGGTTTTCCTATGGCACCAAGTCGCTGTCTTGGATTGAAATCTCGAGACCCAGTAACGAGAAATGAGAGAGAAAAAAACCCAAAAAAAACAGAAACAGGGGAGAGTAGGAGAATTTGGTGGAGAAAGAGAAAGGAGAGCTATATAGTAGCGAAGAACTCCAGCTCGAGTATTCTACTACGAGTTTATCAGCGATGGTTGGAGAGCATTTACGAGCGGTGGAAGGAAACAAAACAAACAACCACGAGGAAGCAAAAGAAATCTCGATGAATGAATCGAGAAAGCAAGCGAGTTATACATGGATTGAACCGAGCAAGGGGATGATTCAAGGATAGAAAAGAAAAGAAAAAAGAAGTTCCCAGAAGAGATCAAGGAACCGCAGGAACAAAAGGCGTCCTTTCTCCTCAATTCCTGGCAGCGTTTATAACAAGGAAGCGTGTTCTTATGTGTGAGAGTGTGAGTGTGTGTGTGTGTTGTTGTTGCGATTTTGTGCTCCTGGCAGTAGCAATTATAGGAATGAATGGGGTATTCCTTGCATTCTTTTTTCCTTTATTTCTCGGCTATCATGGCAATGCCAAAAGATTGACTGCTTGTTCTTACATGGGAGAGATGATTGATGGACGAGAAGCATCTTAAAGTTCTTATATAAGAGTTCCAACCAGAAAAATGTGATTTTTCATTCAAATCTCTTGATCAGCACGAAAAAAAATTGATTTCTGGAAGAAATCTAATTTTTTGTTTTCTTTTGGTTGCTTTGTCGCTAGTACTCGCTTGTCATCTTGCTGCTGCCAGTGATAAAAACCGCCACGGGAAAAAAGCCTTGATTTCTCCACTATTCTCTCGTCGTTCGTGGGGTTGGATGCCGCCATCGATTAATCGAAAAGCATGAGAGATGGAGCCAAAGATTACAGTAACGCTTACCTTGAGCCGCTCGCTTTGCTTTTCCTCGGCAGTTTTCTAAACCTTTCTCGGCTGCCCCGTCGAGAAGCATGCCAAGCAAATCACCTGAATCGCCATTTTTCTAATCCTCAATCCCACCACCTCGCCGAGTTTTCCAAGCGCTGTTCTTCCGCCACCTCGAGACGAGCAAACACATTTAGTGTCTTTTCCTCGCTCCTCTTTTCTGCCGTGCTAGCCAGGAGGAGACAACAGCAGCAGCCCAGGGAACATTAAGAAGTGTGCACAAACTTCCCAAACCCGCTGTTCCAGTTCTCCACTACACGAAAAACCAATCGACTTCCACGTCTTCCACGGATGATCACGCGTATACTTTGGCTTGCTTCTTTTTCTTGCTGCTCAAGTCCCCCCCCCCCTGATCTGTTCTCTTCTGCTCCATTCCAATCCAAAACCAATCCTTGCTCCCCTTCCCAATCAATCAATTCTCCATCCATCCAACAAACTCTCTCTAGAGACCACCACCACCACCTCTGCACTTACTTCGTTGACAATGCCTCGTACAGGGAAGTCTACTCGTAGCACAGCCCGTCCCTGTCGCGCCACTTATGTTCCCTTGGAAACCAAAGTACTTTCCCCCGTCCCTCCACCACTCTGTGCCATCCATGAAAGTATACATGTAGCTCCACGCATGCATCCCGACGATTAAAAGCCTGCTCCAACTCCACTTTGGCCAGTGGTGCTTCGCAGCTTCCAGCAAAGTCGTGAGCAAGCTACACTGACCCGACTGATCCATTTTCCAGATTTTCCCCACCGCCAGCTTGCTCTCTCGATCAAGTTGCTGTCGAGGTCCCCTCCATGAACTCCTACCTTTTTTTATGCCTTGTTCGGCCCTGGTATTTTTGCCCATCCCTGTGCTTGATTTCCTCGTTTTCCTGTAATCTCCTCCGGTCAAGTCCTGATATTTTTCCCATCCCTGTCATTGAGTTCCTCGTTTTCTTTTCTTGATCCCTTTCGGTCAAGTTCTCTTGGCCTAGTTTCAAGGCGCAAGCTACGGGGCCGCCTAGGAGCTCCAATAAATTCGACTTTGAGTCCACTGTCTGCGCCTGTCCCTGCTTTCCGTAGCATGCATCGACTGATTCCTATGGATTCTCCTTTTGTCTAGTCGAGTGGCGTGAGCTCTCCCCGACTTTCAACTTAGCTCCTTTGAGTAGATCCCGGCTGTAAGTCAATGCGTGATGTACTGATTAAAAAAACACCACTCACCTCACCACCACGAGATGATTTTTTCCTTTCAAAGGGAATACACCGGTGGTGGTGGTGGTGGTGGGAACTTTCGTTGTCTTCGCTTTCAGGCTCTTTAATCCTTCCTCGTTGGTCAATGGGATCAATCAATATCGTCTCATAACACGCACACCGCTGCTGCTCGATCTATATAATCTGCCGCCGCTGCTGGTGCTGGCTGGTGCTGGCTGGTGCTGCTGCGTGGTTTGAGCCTGGCCTGGACAGTATTAAAATAAGTGAAAGCGTCAGAGCAGTCTTTATTCTGCAAAAAAGCACCCCTGCTTCATAAATCTAGTGGAAGTACTTGGCTTGGCAACTGTACCTCGAGTGTGAGTGTGTGAGTGTGCTGCTCCGCTCTGACCAACATGACGAGCCTGTGATGCCCCACATAACATGCTTTTTCTGCCTATCCACCAAAAGTTCACCAGAGTATAAGTCTTTGAGAGCAAGAGCAAAAGAAACTTTAGTTTTTAGCGAGAGCTCTAGTGTAAGATGATCTTTGACATTGATCGATCGTGTCCTGCTCGATAACCAGCCTTTTGAAGCGTTGCGTCCACACTTTTAGCGCGCGCTTTTCCATGCCGTCCGGTTGCTCTCGTCTCAACAAAAACGACCCGAAGACGAAAGGCTGTCGTGCTTTTGGACACCCGACCAAGGTATCAATCAATCGCGAGCTCAGCTCTACAGAGCAGCATGAACAGGGCGAGAAGCGTCTCAAGGACAAGCAAACATAAATTCAGGTTCCACACCAAAACCACCAGACAAGCAACAGTTCTCGACTTACAAGCTTTACCTCTCACAGCTGAAATGTTTAGGATCCATCCTGGCCACCACCTGCATGTACCAGACGATTTCCAGCACCTGAAAGAAATAAATGCCAACATTTGCTCAAGAAAAAAAGAAAGCACAAAGAAAACACCAAAATGACAAGCGCAAAATCAATCTTCTAGTCGATCTCATGTGCCCAGACGCGTGAAACACCTTCTTCTATGAAAAAAATCCATTCCTCTGGTAAAAAACTCGAGCGAAAAACCCTACAAGAAACGCGCATATCCTCAAGAATCATTTCAAACATTTGAAAAATAGGTCATGGTGGGATCACTCGAAAGATTTTATATGTCCTTTGGCACCAGTCGTTCGCTGGCAGCACGGAGAAACAAAAGCGACAGAGAAAAGCCACAAGCACCAACCAAGAGCGAAAAACAAAGGAAAAGAAGAACATAATCTCTCACAGCTAGAACAGCATTACATACAAACAGTGGATGCGTACGCCTGGCTTTGTCATCTCCTCCTTCTCTTCCCGAAGAGAGATCCTCCGGGAGAGATTTCTTGTCTCCAAAAGCAAGGATCGTCCTTGGCGCGGCTAGCCACTGCTCTTCTGTAGTCTCAGATTCATCCGTAGCATGCTCCGGAGGACCCCATCGATGGCGGTGTCGAAAGCGTCGGCCCCGGAGAGCTCGTGATCCGCTGTAGCATACACGAGCTTGGGAAGAGCATCAATCAGAGTGTTTCTCATCGCCTTGACTCGCTCCTGCGAGAACCTCGACAGAACTTCCATGATCTTGGTACCTTTGCGGACGTCTTCCCTGTCTATGAACACCGAGTAGCTCTCGTCCTCCTCCGGGAAGAACCACTTGTACTGCCAGTAGGAGCTCTGGTTCCAGAAGAAAACGGGAATGCAGCCCGCCAGAACCGAGTCGAAGATCGACCGCCGGGTGTAGCCGTCACCCCGGGGTTGCAAGCAAAATGTCGAGTTGAGGAAGAGCTGGACCACGGGCTCGGGCGTCTCACACTTGCTGTCCGAGCAGTCCATGGCCGAGCACGCCCCCCGGCTGTCCGAGCACTGCGCCAGGAGCTCCAGCCGGAAGTCATTCGGGATCCTCTTCCTGGTAGCGCCGGCGAAGCTAAACACGAGCCCCCTCTCCTTGTTCCTCACAAACTCCTGCCACTCCTGCAGCTGGTGCTCGTTCTGGGGATGGAAGCTCGTCGGATATGGAACTCCATACTCGCCACCCTCCCAGGGATTGCTCTCGATGGCCAGCCGGGTCATGTTCTTCATCTCGGCCATGTTGAGCAGCCCGCTACCCCACGCGTTCTCCTCGGGCCGCCGAAAGTCCCAAGTTATCCGCCCGATCATGGTGAAGTGGTCTCGGCCCCGGGCCCGAGTCCAGGCCGGCTGGGTCGAGAGCCACTCCACGAGCTTGTGTCCGAGGTGGTCGCGGTCCTCGGCCTTGGACGGTCTCCACAGGTACCGGGAGACGTCCAGCCCCGCGTAGAATGGCACGTAGAAGACGTTGGCCGAGTCGGAATCGTTCGTGACGCAGGGGTGGCGGAGGATCCTGGTGTGGAAGATGACCTCGCCGCTGAATTGCTCGGTGTAGAACCAGGGGGACGGCTTGGACGACGGCCATGGAGTCGTGGTCATGGGCTTGCCGAGGCCGCCGTGGGAGAGAGCGTCGCAGAGCGAGAGCCACGGGTTGAGGGTCGAGCAATTGGCGAGCAAGTCGGCGTTGAAGCGTGGTGGCAAGTCGTAGACGAAGATCCTGCCGCCTTTGCACACCGGATCCTCCTCTAGGATCGCGTTCTCGGATGCGAGCATGGACGCCTCCTTGGATTCCTCGCCTTTTTCTTCTGAATCGGTATCTTTCTCGCCTTCCACTTCTTCGTCACCGCTGCCACCGACTTGAGCTTGCTGCTGTTCTTGAGAGACTAGTTCTCTTCCATTTGAATCCTTGTTTTCCAGTTCTTCCTCGCCATCGCCAAGCTGGGAATCCTGTTTTCCTTGAGACAGTAGCTTTCCACCTTCGTCTTCTACTTCTTCCTCCTTCGATTCCACCTCTCGGACCGACGAAGCTGCATTGTCTAGAACAGCCGATCTGGAAACATCTCCGCGAGGTCGATCCAGGAAACGTTTCCCTTGGGCTTCTTCCTCCTTCTTCTCCGCTTGCTTTGAGCGATCGTCCTCTGGTAGATGCCCCTGCCCCTGTTCTAAAACTCCCAAGCTTTTCTTCTCGATCTTAGCCACCGACGAATCCTTGGGCCTGTTCTTGGCCGCTACAGTGTACAGCGTCCTGCCGATCGGGGCGTGATCCAGCTCCCCATGCGATGCCCCTGCCGATGGCGCCGATCGAAGAACCCCGAGGACCAGCAGCTGCAATATCAATAGCCCGAGCAGCAGCACCTTAGGGGCCGCGGCCACGCCGCGCACGGACGACGCCGCCGAGCGCGATAGGGCGGCAATGGGGGGGAGCGACGCCAAACCTGGAGGAGCGAACGATCGCCACTGCCACTGCCACTGCGGCGCCCATCGCCTGACCCTCGCCACGCCGGCGCGCGCCAGGTCCCCCGCCGCGTCGCGGATGCCATAGAACCGCGCGCGCAGCTCCCTGGCGCTTCTCGCCGCCGCCGCGCTGTGAGTCTTCATCGAGAAAGTATCACCCTCGGATTCGAACCCCCGCTCTCCACCTAGTTTAAACTAGGCGAATATTACCATTTATTATTTAGAGGTTTAGGGCAGAATATGCCGCGCACAATAGAGCCCTATCCCACATGCCCTGGCGCGAGAGAGAGCTCTCAATATAAAAGAGGCTCCATTGGAAGAGTCTAGCACGACTGTACTTGAACAGGATCTGTTCTCTAGGTCGTACTTCAGTCCATACCGAGAGGTATAGACAAACCGATAAAACCCGGACGATGAGTTTGAGCCCCCCGGCTTGAGCGCGACCGTACGAGTCACTGGCGCAGTTACTGCGGCAGTGGCCCATAGATGACCGTTCACGCCGAGCTTGCTCGGGGTGGAGGCCGGGCGGGCAGTCTGACGGGTCAAAACCTTTTGCTAGATTTTTATTTCGATTCGCAGGTGACAACCTTTGTTACACTCGATGATCAAAGTTTTCAAGAGGTTTTTTTCTTCTCTAAAACACAAGTTTTTGCCGTGAACAAGTCTGTGAAAGCAAAGCACAAAACTAGTTTGGAACTGGTTAGATTACAAATGTGCCTGCTACACTGCTAGCCTCCATCTTCCTTTGGCCCGTCTACGCCTGATAATCCGCCTCCCAGATGGAGTCCTCATCCTGCGCCAAACAAAACTTGGCTTTGATCACGAAAGAGAGATTGCGTAGTTCATTCACCTCACGAGGAATCCATGAGTTCTTTTCCGCTTCTTGTTGTTTGGCTGGTAAGTCCTCTTGGGCATCATGATCATCGGGCTGGGAATGGCAAAACCAAAGAGAAAGAGACTCTCAGGCTAAAACCAAAGTGCAAGAACAACGATTACCCTTCGTCGGCATCCAAGATCTCGGGGCATTTCACTGTAAAGTTTCAGCCCCATAGTTTCTACTAGACAAGTACTTTTGAAGCGTACCCTCATCGTGAGCTGACGATGGCGCTGGATCGTTTGCAGGGCAGGGCAAAGGGAATCCCACCGGGATCAACAGAGCTAGGTCGTCGGATGGAGCTGCAAACCCCTGCATTGCATCCCACGGCGCGTCTGGATTCTCGCGCCCTTGCATTGCCCACCACACCTGATGATCCTGACACACTGCCGCCGAGCGCCAAAGAATCTGCCTGCCGCTCCGCCAGGGCGCCGCGCGATTCATCACTAGCCGCCAAGCCATGGCGGCGAGCTCTCCTTTTAGGGCTTCATAATGTTTCTTGTGAAAAGTTCTATAGATTGAGCTAAAGGAAAAAAGAAAATTTAAAATTTAATGCTTTAACAATTTCGAAAACTCTGACAAAAGCTTGAAAACACTAAACAATGTAACAATGTAACATAGCAATGCAACTTCAGTTGATAGTACAAGCAATTATAGCTCTACTATCAGTGGACACCAACCAGAAATTTATCCTCCCGAATCTTGCTGAGAGCTTTTTGTGACACAAGTGGCATCTGGATCATGACCTCTTAGGTTCCTGTCCATCGCCATGTCATAGCATTTACTCTATAAAACCATGACCTTGATCCCAATATCAGATCTCTCAACAAGAACACTAGAAGTGATTTTCTCTTGAACATCCAAGACATCTCTCTCGCACACAACGCGGTAGTCCCCATCGTACTCAAACAGTGCCAGAAGCAAAACTGACATGTCGACCACAGGCGATTCCTTGAGCCTGTGTGCCTTGGATGTTGACCTTCACCAGGCACTGAACGAAGCGCGAGCGTATGTCACCAATCCGTATTGTCGACAAGCGACACCGTCCTCAATGCCCCAGGAGGGATCTATCGTGAAATCCTGGGAATGGTGATTGTCAATGGGCTCGCGGATTACCCAGACTCGCCGAACGGTAGCATGGCTCAGAAGATGTTATGCCCGGATTGCTCGCAGCCAAAAGCGAAGATACATGCAACGCGGATGACCCTCGGAAAGCTTTTCAAGAGAAAAAGCAACGAGAGTGCAAGTCGGGAACACTCACGACTGGGAGAAGTACCTCGCACCCTGCCATTGCCAACAGTTCAAGAGGAGGACAAGTCAACTGGGTGATACAAATCTGGCGATCCCAAGGATCCCACGAACTATCGGACTATATAGCGGGCACATCTTTGTCAAAGTCTTTGCCACTCTCGCCAGGGGTATGGATTGAGGCTATGGTCTCTCAATCCCTCTCTCGCATTGGTTCTCCTGGTTTTGAGGGTCTGGAACGTCTCAAACTACATAGATCTCTCCAGGCATTCAGAGTTTTCTTGCTAGAAATACAAGTTCTCATGACTCTATCGCAATGCTATTTATGTGGATGCCTTGTCAAATCATCCAGGGGAATATGCCGCACAATATCACATCTGGACCTGGGGAATTCTGCGATGCCTCAGGCATGGGAGTCAACCTCACAAAGATGCAAACCATGATCTTGGGCAGCCGTTGCCAAAAGATGCTTTTATCAGGGAACCTAACAACACCGCATCATAGCAGCTACGGCCGACGAATCCGCCCACGGCTGCCACGCCACCTCTACCATTACTTGCTGTGCAACACAGCCCAGGTATATGCCCCACAATTCCCATCGCATGAGTAGAAGGTCGGCCTCCTTCAAGATGCCACAGTCGCGAATCCGCTCTGTCACCTTTTGAGGCAATTCCTCATTATAAAAATTACCAGGAAACTTTGAGAAGTAAATGTCCAGATTGAGCAGGCTTTCCACGGCCTTACCAAATGTTGTTTTCATCAACCCTCCGGATGGTTCTTCTCAAACAAATCAATCAAACTTTAGCATCTTGCAAGTCCCTGGCCCGCTTTCAAACGGCGTAAGTAGAGATCACCATAAGGTGGCAGTGCACAAAAAGAAAAACGATTTCGTCATGGAATCTCCAGCAAGCATGTCGCGGGCTTGAGACTTCCGCCTCCTAGAAGCTTGCAGTACAAGAGGACGACCAAGGCTGGAACCATGGGTCTCGTTGACATGATGGTTGTGAGAGTGATGCCAATCTATGATACCAAGGGACAAGAAAATAACCCAAGGAAAGAAGAAAACACAAGCCCCTTGCCTACCAACAACGCACGCATCCAGTTACCCGCACTTGAATGCGGGGAGTGCTCTTTGTGTGGTGAAAAGTCTTTGTGTTGCAAACAGGGTGTTGCACGGCATGAAGAAAAGTCTTTGTCTAAACCCAGCACGCGAAAATGAAATATTAGAAAAGCAAAGAAAGACTGCATTTGCATGCCTTGAGTTTTCTTTCTCGAGCAAAGTCGCAAGTCCCTCCATGAAGAACTCTTTCGTATTCTTGTTGATCGTGATGGCACAATCTTTGCTGCAGGTGGAATCCAACTGTCAGGTAGTCCAACAAAGAGCAAAACAAAGGAAAATAAGCTTGCCTTGACATTTTTTTTCCAGACGGGCGAATGGATCAGCCACGGAGGAGATCTCAAGAATCGTCGCTTTGCAGAAGATGAGCACTTGATCAGCGTCTGGAGCGCGCCTCACTTAAGCGAAAAGTGGAGCTTTGACGCTGGCGCGGACATTTCGGCCACACCGGCGATTTACGACTGTGTTGTCTACTTCCCATCGTGGAACGGGCTTGTCTTCGCAGTTACCATCCACGGAGAACTTCTCTGGCGCTTCAACTTGACAGAAATCACGGGAGTTGCCACTTTGTCGCGGACGACACCGGCTGTGACCGAAGAGCTCTTGCTGTATGGTTTGCTCGGTCCCGCTAGAGTTGTTGCTTTACACCGTAAGAGTGGAAGAATGGTTTGGATGTCAGAAGATCTGGATGAAACGCCCCTGGCAAGGATCACCATGTCAGGAACAGCATACGACGGGTAAGCAAACTTCCTTTCTTTTCTTTTTTTTCGGCTCTTGAGCACCTATCATTCTGGCAGAGCTTTCTACGTTGGTATGTCTTCGCTCCAAGAGCTTGTGGAGGCAGCCTGTTGCACATTCCAAGGAAGCTTTCAGAAACTCGACCTCAAAACTGGAAAACGAATATGGAGAACTTACATGGTTCCTGAAAACTCCAGTTTCTACGGCGTTACAGTATGGGGAAGCAGTCCTTCCATCGATCCCAAGCGAGGACTCGCCTTCATTGGCACTGGAAACCTCTACCAGATCCCGAGCGACGTCCAGGACTGCCTCAACAGAAATGCCAACTCGAGCGACTGCTATCCTCCCGGTGTCTGTGACGACGCCGTTGTAGCCGTGAACATGGCCGACGGGGAGATACGCTGGTGTAACAGGCTCGGAGGAAACGACGTATGGAGGCTTGCTTGTGACACAAATCCACCACCAGCAAACTGTCCACCTGAGCCTGGGCCGGACTACGACTTTGGAGAGTCGCCGATGCTGCTTACGATCCCAAGCCGCTACTCCAAGAACAAGTTCCAAGATATCGTCGTCACCGGTCAGAAGAGCGGCATTGTTTGGGCTCACGATCGAGACGACGGCAGCCTTGTCTGGGAAACGGTAACTCGAGCTCCTGTTGATATCTAGCTTGTCCTTCCTGGTCACCTTTTGTTTTCCTCCTGTTTTGTGAAGACTGCCGGACCTGGTGGCTCTGTAGGTGGAGCGATCTGGGGAGCCGCCACTGACAACCATCGAGTATACACCAACATCGCAAACTCTGACCGTGCTACGTTCCAGCTCGTTCCTTCCGGACAAAGCACCACCGCTGGTGGCTGGGTGGCCATGGACGCCGCTACTGGAAGAATAGAATGGTCCACTGCGAATCCACACGGTGCGCGAGCTTACGGGCCTGTGACTGTCGCCAACGGTGTGGTCTTCTGCGGATCATTCGACAAGGATGGTCATGTTCTCGCACTGGACGCAGAGAGTGGACGTATACTGTGGGAACGTACCACTGGTTCGACGGTCTACGGAGGACCCTCAGTCGGGCACGGGTGTTGCTTTATTGGAACGGGATACTCACGGGCTCCACTGGCTCCTGCGTTTGGAGGAACTCCCGGCTCCGAATTATATGCCTTCTGTGTATGACATGATCAAGGCAGCATTAGATGGACGCACGTAATAACGTGTTCCTAGATCCTAGAGGCTTCTACAAGATCCTCTCTTTGATAGTTGTCACACATTTTCGTCAAGCCAAAATTCGATGAATTGACCTAAAAGCTCTCTATTTATTTATCTCAGAAGATGTTTCATTTAAATTAGCATAATATTTTATGCATTTTCTTGTTTGATTGTTTTTTTTTGTTTTTAGGGTTCTTCGTTAGGGGAAGAGGGCGTGCCATGGGCGACAAGGTCCAGGTTTTGTACTGCGCAGGTGATTTGTATGGTTTTTCTTTGCCGGATCATGCTAACTGTCCGACTCTAGTGTGTAGTTTGCCTCCTGAGTATTGCGAATTTGGACCGGACTTTGAGAAGTGCAAGCCCTGGCTCCTAGAGAATGTGCCTGATTTGTATCCGGAGCTTGCAAGAGGTACCTCGATTGATCGTCGTTAGTGTTGTGATTTTACCTTCTTTTTTGTCTTCACAGAGAGAGCTGAGCAGCAACTACAAGGATTAACTGTGAGCAATGAAAAGGGAGATAGCTCAAAGACACAAGGTACGTATGAGGGAGAGCTTCGAGGAGAAGTAAATGTTCTTTTCTCTCTTTTTGTTTTATGTCATTTGTAGAAGAAGATGTGAAGAGATTACCAGGAGGAAAAATCAAGAAGAAGGTAACGAGCTGGCAGTTCTATGAGACGATGAAACTTACGCCCTGCATTTCCAGGAAAAGCCCGCGGTTGTGGTCGAGAGAGTGACGAGAAACAAAAGGAAATGTGTGACAACTATCAAAGGGCTCGACATGTTTGGTAACAGGATTTACTGCTTGCTTGGTGTGCTGCATCTAGAAGAGCTTTTTGAATGTCTGAAGGTGTCAAGCTGGGGGAGGCATCAAAGAAACTCGGGAAGAAATTCGCAAGTGGTGCGTCTGTGGTGAAGGTGAGTGGGATTCTCACGCATGCTCTTTCTCGCGTAATTCAAAAGTTCTTTTCAGGGCCCGACGGAGAAAGAACAAATCGACGTTCAAGGGGATATTCTGCTGGACATTGTGGAGTTTATCACAGAGACGTGGCAAAACGTGAGTTCTTCTAGGCTCTTGTGCGTGCTCTAACTTAACATTCTCAGATTCCCGAATCGGCTATCTTCTTCATGGAGGACGGCAAGAAGGTTTCCGCAGGCTAGCGTTTGTGTGTACTATGTGTTGGCCAGGCTAGCAATACAATGGGCTCGGAAGTCTTTTCTAGGTGTATAACAGGTTTAAGCTGTACAAGATGGAAGAGCGTGAGCTCCAACTTACAGGTACACCATCTAGAATATTGACTTCGGTTAGGAACACTGGGAGAAACTTCTTGCGTGCGTCTTTCTAATGCTGCCTTGATCATGTCATACACAGAAGGCATATAATTCGGAGCCGGGAGTTCCTCCAAGCGCATCACCCAGTGGATCCCATGAGTATCCCGTTCCAACAAAGCAACACCCGTGCCCGACTGAGAGCCCTCCATAGACCGTCGAACCAGTGGTACGTTCCCACAGTATAGGTCCACTCTCTGCGTCCAGTGCGAGAACATGACCATCCTTGTCGAATGATCCGCAGAAGACCACACCGTTGGCAACAGTCACAGGCCCGTATGCTCGCGCACTGTGTGGATTCGCAGTGGACCATTCTATTCTTCCAGTAGCGGCATCCATGGCCACCCAGCCACCAGCAGTGGTGCTTCCTCCGGAAGGAACGAGCTGGAACGTAGCACTGCCAGAGTTTGCGATGTTGGTGTACACTCGATGGTTGTCAGTGGCGGCTCCCCAGATCGCTCCACCTACAAAGCCACCAGGTCCGGCAGTCTTCACAAAACAGGAGGAAAACAAAAGGTGACCAGGAAGGACAAGCTAGATATCAACAGGAGCTCGAGTTACCGTTTCCCAGGCAAGGCTGCCGTCGTCTCGATCGTGAGCCCAAACAATGCCGCTCTTCTGACCGGTGACGACAATATCTTGGAACTTGTTCTTGGAGAAACGGCTTGGGATCGTGAGGAGCATCGGTGACTCTCCCAGGTCGTAGTCCGGCCCAGGCTCAGGTGGACAGTTTGCTGGTGGTGGATTTGTGTCACAAGCAAGCCTCCATACGTCGTTTCCTCCGAGCCTGTTACACCAGCGTATCTCACCGTCGGGCATGTTCACGGCTACAACGGCGTCGTCACAGACGCCGCGAGGATAGCAGTCGCTCGAGTTGGCGTTTCTGTTGAGGCAGTCCTGGACGTCGCTCGGGATCTGGTAGAGGTTTCCAGTGCCAATGAAGGCGAGTCCTCGCTTGGGATCGATGGAAGGACTGTTTCCCCAAACTGTAACGCCGTAGAACCGGAATTTTCAGGAGCCATGTAAGTTCTCCATATTCGTTTTCCAGTTTTGAGGTCGAGTTTCTGAAAGCTTCCTTGGAATGTGCAACAGGCTGCCTTTACAAGCTCTTGGAGCGAAGACATACCAACGTAGAAAGCTCTGCCAGTATGATAGGTTCTCAAGAGCAGAAAAAAAGAAAAGAAATGAAGTTTGCTTACCCGTCGTATGCTGTTCCTGACATGGTGATCCTTGCCAGGGGCGTTTCATCCAGATCTTCTGACATCCACACCATTCTTCCATTCTTACGGTGTAAAGCAACACCTCTAGCGGGACCGAGCAAACCATACAGCAAGAGCTCTTCAGTCACAGCCGGTATCGTCCGCGACAAAGTGGCAACTCCCGTGATTTCTGTCAAGTTCGTGCTCCAGAGAAGTTCTCCGTGGATGGTAACTGCGAAGACAAGCCCGTTCCACGATGGGAAGTAGACAACACAGTCGTAAATCGCTGGTGTGGCCGAAATGTCCGCGCCAGCGTCAAAGCTCCACTTTTCGCTTAAGTGAGGCGCGCTCCAGACGCTGATCAAGTGCTCATCTTCTGCAAAGCGACGATTCTTGAGATCTCCTCCGTGGCTGATCCATTCGCCCGTCTGGAAAAAAAAATGTCAAGGCAAGCTTATTTTCCTTTGTTTTGCTCTTTGTTGGACTACCTGACAGTTGGATTCCACCTGCAGCAAAGATTGTGCCATCACGATCAACAAGAATACGAAAGAGTTCTTCATGGAGGGGGACTTTGCTCGAGAAAGAAAACTCAAGGCATGCAAATGCAGTGTTTCTTTGCTTTTGTAATATTTCTTTTTCGCGTGCTTGGTGACTTTTCTTCATGCCGTGCAACACCCTGTTTGCAACACAAAGACTTTTCACCACACAAAGAGCACTCCCCGCATTCAAGTGCGGGTAGCGTGCATTGTTGGTAGGCAAGGGGCTTGTGTTTTCTTCTTTCCTTGGGTTATTTTCTTGTTCCTTGGTATCATAGATTGGCATCACTCCCATGTCAACGAGACCACCATCTTGAGCATGGTTCCAGCCTCGGTCGTCCTCTTGTACTGCAAGCTTCTAGGAGGCGGAAGTCTCAAGCCCGCGACACGCTTGCTGGAGATTCCATGAAGAAATCGTTTTTCTTTTTGCGCACTGCCACCTTATGGTGATTCAAAAACTATCTCTACTTACGCCGTTTGAAAGCGGGCCAAGGATTTGCAAGATGCTAAAGTTTGATTGATTTGTTTGAGAAGAACCATTGACCAGTTTTCATCCATGCCAGGAGGTTCGAATACCGTGGTACGCATGGGACTTCAACAAGCAGGTACTTATTCTTCAATAGTTTAGATAGCATCCCGACGGCGAATCTCCGACACAGGTTGGAGGCTGGACCCAAGTCTACAAGGGAATGACATTTACCACAGTCAGAGGCGCTGGACACATGGTGCCTGCCACAAAGCCGCAACATGCTCTTCAAGTTTTCAAGAGCTTCTTGGCAGGAGAAGCATTGCCCAGCTTCCCATGAACAAAAGGAAAGAGAGAAAGAAAACAAACACAAACGAACAAGGCATAGCTACGCGTTCAAGGTTCGCGAAAACTATTCGTTCTAATCAGCTTGTCTTTGGAGTTTTCACTTTAGCGTAACAGGGACGGCTGGTGGTCAGCTGATGGAGTTTTCGGAGAGGTCCATTTCTACGTACAAGATATGATAATTTCGAAATTCTATTATTGTTGCCACTGGAGATATTTATCTCTCGCATTTTCTGCGAGTTTCGACACCGATGGCCGCAGCACTCGCTCTTTTTATTCTACTTACTTCATTCCTTACAGCTCTAGCAGCGGATCAGTCTCATCTTGTTTCCAAGCTTCCTGGACAACCTCAAGTTAACTTCAATCAGTATGCTGGCCAAGTGACCGTGAATCCAACCGCAGGGAAGGCACTTTTCTACTGGTTCTATGAGGCTGATCACCAAAACAGTTCGCTACAGCTGCCTCTAGCGATCTGGATGAACGGAGGTAAGTTTTGTTCTTCAGAGCTCAAAGCTTTATAGGATCTCGGATGCTTTTCAGGCCCAGGATGTTCTTCGGTCGGAGCTGGAGCCTTGGGAGAATTGGGACCTTTTAGAACAAATGAAGCAGGCTCGGGGCTTGTTCTCAATCCATACGCATGGAATCAAGGTTGTTTTTATCGTCTTCAGGGCTAAGAGCTAGCTTTGCTTTCGAGCAGTGGTCAACCTTATATTCCTCGAGGCTCCCCATGGCGTTGGATTCTCGTACTCCAACACAACCGCGGATTATAATCAATACAGTGATGATATTATGGGTATAGAATATATTGCAAAGAATTGATTGATATACCGATTTGCCTGCAGCATCGGATGTTCTTGTGTTCATCCTGGAGTGGTTCAAACGCTTTCCAGAGTATTCAAAGAACGATTTTTACCTCCTCGGTGAAAGCTACGCTGGTAAAAACAACGTGTTTCAAGCTCTTCACTGTATGAATTTGTTCTTGCAGGGCATTATGTTCCGACTTTAGCTGCAAAAATCCTCGACTACAACAAGAAGAAGGCCGGAGCTTTCATTAACTTCAAAGGATTTGCTGTAAGGTTTTGCTCGTCCAAAACGTTTCTACTCATCTGGTGTTTGACGCGCAGCTTGGTAATCCCTGGTCGGACACATACTCTGACAACAAAGGCAACACCGATTTCTTCCACAGTCATTCGCTAGTCTCCGATGAGATCTACAACCAAGTCGTCGCCAACTGCGACTTCGCCAAGGATCTTTCAAGCGATGCCAATCCGCTGTGCAGGTTCGCAGTCAGCGCCATGTTCAACAGCATCCAGTACGTTGACACCTACAACGTCTACGCCCCTGCGTGCAACCAGCAAGATCCCAACGGGACGATTTTGAGCCAAACGCTGCGAGAAAATGCTTTCATGCACACTGAGATGCTGGCTGCTGCCTACAATTCATGCGCTGACACAGTGTCTCCATATCTCAACTCCAAGGACGTCCAAACCGCTTTACACGTAGAATTCATGCCTGGGAAGTGGTCATTTTGCAGGTAAAACCTTTTTTCTTTTCTCTCTTTCACATGCGATCTATGTTGTGATACAGTCGAGCAGCGAATGAAAACTATCCGATAAAGGAGATCACGAATTCAATGCTTCCACTGTATCGCTCGCTACTGAAAGAGGGTCTCAAGATCTGGATTTACAGGTACAATTTTGACGTTTACTTTCATGACAAGAGCGCAGTTTTCCCTTTCGCATGTAGTGGCGATGTCGATGGTGTTGTCTCCACGATCGGGACGAAAGCGTGGATCAAGAAGCTCAATCTCACCATCACGCAGAAGTGGTATCCTTGGAAGTTCCAAGATCAGGTACTAAAATACAAACTTGTTCTATTTCCTTGTTTCATTTGATCATAGCTAGATCTTCTTCTAGGTCGGCGGCTGGAGTGAGAAATACGCGGGGCTAATGCTTGCCACAGTGAGAGGCGCTGGACATATGGTTCCCTTTGACAAACCTGAGCAAGCGTTGCTTTTGTTCCAACATTTTGTCAATGGGAGCTCACTCCCAGGCTTTTAAATGCCCAAGTTGTGAGTGCTTAAGAATATAGAAACTGTGTATATTAATTAACTTAAAAACCCTAATTTATATATAGGAGTGAGTGGTTCGGATTGAAACCAATCCAACATCTACCAAAATTTCACTATGCTAATATTAATATACAATATTGTAGCCATACACTGTCACATCATTCCCTCCTCTTGGAATAATGAAAGACCATCAGGGTTCTTTTGTAGATATGCCGGGATCAAGAAGAACATCAGGAGGAGGCATTGGCAGATTTATAGGTGGTATTAATTGTTCATGATCTTTTGGTATGAAGCATTTCAACCGCTACACACGCACAATCTCTGGAGGATTGGCTTGCTGAACGTTATGCCGAACCTCATAAACTTGTTGTAAAATTTGCTACAACACTTAATATGGTTCTTTCCACTGAGTAAGGAGCCCTTTATATAAACCACATACCGTAAGATTGGGAAAACGGACTAATACTAAGTCATCCACTTTGTACTCCACAGGTGGATGATGATGGGAGTTGTACTGCTGTTGTTGTCCCACTTGTACGTAGCTTAAGGGTTCAGCAAATTCTGCTTGGACCAGTGGAAGAATGTTTGTCAAATACTGATCCCACGACCTAGCATCGGCAGCTCGTGACAACGTGAAGGTAAACCTAGCTCCATTGGTAATATTGGATCATGGCTATATAAAAGTTTATATGGTGAAGCACCAACAGAACTCTACACCCTTGTGGCATATGTATACCGAAGAGATAGCACAATCCGAATGTTGAAAGTTCACATACTTCGCGATCATCCTTTTGAACGTCAAAACAAACCATTCCACCAAACCATTTGATTGTGGATAATAAACACTTGTGAAAGTGTGGCATATCCCCAACCGAGATGTCAAAACATGAAATGCCTCAGCCATAAATGAGGAACCATTGTCCAAAAGAATTTGTTCTGGACAAGAATGCTGGAACACCATTTGATTGAAGAGGAAGTATCCAATAGTAATTGCAGAGGTGTTAGCAAGAGCACCAACTTCCACCCAACGAGTCAAGTAGTCAGAAGCAATAATAACATATTTATTGCTAACAGTTGATCATGGAAGAGATCCCATAAAATCAAACGTCACCAACTCAAACAAACGAGAAACTGCAATTGACTCTAACCATCCTTCTGTAGCACGAGGGGGAGTATTATAAGTTTGGCACCAAATGCAACTATGCACATACTGGATAATATCTTGTCGCATCTCTGGCCAATAAAAAGACCTGTGTAGTTTCTTGATCACACAATAATGTCCCATATGCCCACTTACAATAGGAGAATTATGGTAGGCATGGAGAAACCGTGGAATAACGACAGAAGGCACCACTAGCCGTAAAGGATCATTAGGATTTGTCCCCACAAAATAAAGAAGGCCATCTTCAAGGCGATATTGAGAATGTAAATGCCAGAATGGTAAGTCATTAGCAAGTGATGCAGGATTCTCAAACCTATCTCGAAGCCTTCGAATCCATAGCTCAAGCTTTTAAGCCTCGCAAACCTCCTCAAGAGAAGGTAGATCTTGCTCTACACTTTGTGGACATTGAACGTTAAGTATAGCAACACAGAATCCTTGTCTAGAAAATCCACAGATGCTGGAATAACAGGCTCATCAGAAATATGAGAAGAGAGTGGAAAACGAAGAGGAGCTCGAGAAAGGGCATCAGCATTGGCCATAAAACTCCCAGGGTGATAAACAACATCAAAATCATATATATGAAGCTTTAAAACCCACTGAGCAGTACGACCAACAAGGTTTTTTTGCTTTAATAATGAAGTAGTGTTTAGCAGCAGTCTAGGGTTTCGAGAAACTTCATGTATATCTACATGGTTCTCAAATGTTACTTGAAGGTGATCATGCTGCCCCTTCTCTGTCATGGAGTAGTTCACTTCCGCTAGTTGTAATGTATGGCTTATATACGTAATGGAATGGTGTTGACCAACACTTGGGCTCTTTTGCATCAACACACCTCCAAGACTAATATCAGAAACATTCATGCACAAAATAAAGGTTGAGTGTAGTCAGGATATGCCAAAACCGGAGGAGTCGTCAAGAGCTCTTTGAGATCCACAAATGCCCTCTCACAATCTAAAAACCAGATGAAAGATGATGTTGATGACTGTTGATGACTTCAGCAACGCTTACAACGGTGCAATGTGATCAAAATGATGATCCACAAAATGATCGAGATATTACACCTTGCCCAGGAATTGCTACACATTATTCACACACTTCGAAGTAGGGGACTTTAGAACAGCCACAAGTTTGTTAGGATCAACTTGGAAACCCTCACAAAAAATACGGTACTCAAAATAAGTCATGTTCTTGGATCCAAACATGCACTTTGACCACTTTAACTTCAAACCAACGTCCCGTAACTGACCCAATACTTTAAAAACATCACGAACATGCTCCTCCCATATCCCCTCCGAGTGGATTAAGACATCATCAATGAAGTCAGCAATCACCTCTGGCATATTATAAAGAACCTCGTCTATCATTCGCTGGAAAGTTATTAAAG